TGTTCCTAGAGTTTACTACGAGGGGCTTGCTGCTCACTTCACCTGCGGAATGTTTTTCGAAGTTATCATGCTCATAATGATGAGTTTGAACACCCATGAGATGCCCAGTTGTTCATCCGCTGCGTCCTCTGTAGACATCTCAGAAAGCACCAGCCGGCTATTTGAATATTATGGGCAGGGACAGCATGATACTGTCAGGGCTTACAGATCATTATCCTCCGTCTCGGCTACAGTATCTTGGCAGGAGGAGAGGACTTCCAGATTGGGAAGTGACCTAAGCCTAATACATTTTAGGCCACTAAGAGAGCCATACCTCACCCCTAAAGCGCAAAAATCAGAAAACGCCTACGGAGTCAAGGTACAAGGAGCCTCACAGCCCATCCCGATCCAGCGCATCTCCCGAAATATGGTGAAGGGCTCGGGCTTGCTCTCAAGCTCGTCACGGACAATGCTTTCCTGAACGTAGTCCAGTCGGTAGTCGATGACTTGAGTATCGATCACCAGGAGTAGCGTGAAGGACGAGTACTAACGGTTCCTGCTGAACTCTGTAGGGCAGATTGCGAATCAGGTTCACGGCCCCGTCGTTCTTGTGAAGATCAGCCAGGACCTCAAGCGGGATTTCTGGCCATCCCCCTGGGGGTGCGCGAGAAATTGGACGGTCGTTTCAGTCTACATGATGACAGAATTTGTCGCAGTCCGTTACAAGTCGGAGAAACTTCTCCTGCTTGAACAGCATGGCGGATTGAGGCGACCAGAGAATGAGCCAGTACATGCGATGAAGCAAAGTTTAGGCTACCTTAGCTCAGGGTCGATTCGGGCTAGAAGCAGCGAGGCTGCGGAACACACCCAGTTCAAATTGGGTTCTTGTGGGTGCCAGAGCCTGTCAACCTCAGTCAGTCAGTCCCTGTAGCCCCCAAATCTTGCTTGCCCCGCATGCGCCACGGGCACACGCTTTTTCGGCGGAAACACAGTGCAAGTGAGGCATGTTTGATTGGTTTTACTGGTTGATTCCAGTTGGTATCCTCTGAAATACTGAGGCACACCAAGACATCAAGCCGAGAGTGACAAGCACCGGTATTGTGACGGTTTTGCACGTTGCAAGAACTATCAGTTTCTCTATACCAGATAGTCAAATTTTGCCGTTGTGTATTCGGCCCACTGGTCAATCGTCTTCAGCGCGCGTTCTGCGATCGAAATCGAAAATAGCAAAGGTGTCTTGGTCGATATTTTGCAGAACGACACAGGTCAAGGCGTTGCATGACAACACGGCAAAGTCTACAGGTCCATTGACCGAATGTCTGCGCCTTGATCCGTCCATCCCGAAAAACACGAAAGCACCACAGGATCTCTTGTGAAAGGACGTCATCACCAGTTGCGGACCGCTGGTCCAGATCCAGACCTTGCGTGGTTCTGAGGGGATCGATGGAGCCTCGCGAAATACTGACTAACACGAAAATCGAACTGCGCCGAAGTCCGAGTCGAAGAGGCACGTGTCGGAGCCATGGGGGAGTATCTACCGCGTCCAGACCGCCAGACTGCCAGACTGCCAGACTCTCCAGAACATGTAAATGATCCTGCTGAGAGGGGCTTTCCCATGGTTTCGTCACTATTTCGACTCCGCTATTCACAATCTCAAGGACGATTCCTAGCCGTGGTGAGGGCCACGTGGGAGCGGAATTGCGAGCCTCAGCAGCAATGCGGATGCCGACAGCAATGTTGGCCGTGGCTGCGACAGTATGCACTGACCGATGGTCGATACTCGGTGTCGATCTCTTGTTGGAGATCAAGTCTCATTTATCCAATGTGAGAAAAAGGGCATTGCAGAAAAGGTCGTCTGGGTTTGGGGCCGCGTATGTTCGTGAATCTGCTTCGCTTCGATGACTAACACGCAGGCATGAGTGATGCCAACCGTAAGACATGACATGAGGGAACCGACGTGGGTGTGTCGGTGACAAGCGTCTCGTCTTTATTTGGAGTCATGATCATGTCGAAGAGAGGGATGTCTGAATGAGAGATTTGAATAAGAGATCTGAATGAGAGAAAGATGTGGTGTGGTCTTCTGAATGGGTGGGCAACTCCCCAGTCTGCAGAACGCGAGATACTCGACCAGCGTGATTCATGATGGCCTCTCTGCCGGGGAATTTCGCAGACCCATCGAGCCAAAAACACATAAATAATTACATGGGAAAACCAGTGAGAAAACCATCATTCGATTTGATGGCTGTCGGGTATCCAAGGACATGGAGACGAGGTTGCAGGGAGGGTGGATGTTGCGCCATCGTGAACGTGCGGATGGCTTCAGCTGGGAAAGACGCGCTCGAGCAAAACACGGTCGCGTTGCAAATGCCTTTGCAGAACCAGCATCAATCAAACTTTGAATTGCGAACCAAGAGAAAGAGAAAACATGGCCAGGGACATTTGCATGCATTAAACATACGACATTCTTTTCTCGAGACAAAGCGGGAGAGCGAATGCAGACATGGACATCGCGGTCGCGTCGCGACGACGATGCAAAACAAACCATCTCGACACCCAAAAACACCCTCGACACGGTTCAACTTCGAGGGTACTCGGGAGCACAATCGGCGCACAAAAAAATGACCAGAAATCACGTTCAAGGACGGGAGACACACGACATCATACTGGAGGGTGGGCAGACGGAAAAAAGAGAGCGAGCGAGGAGGAAAAAGAGGAAGAAGATGGGGACGGGGACGAAGACGTCGAGGTGGGCGATGAGGAGGGCGTTGGGCGAGGACGAGATCAGACAACGCAGAAGGGGGCCAGACGTTGGGTGGTGGGCAGCTGGCCAATCAAAAAAATGGTGCCGCGTGACGTATTTTTCTGGGACGAGGGACCTATTTTCGAGGTACCTCTGCAAGTACCTTTTTACGATGAGCAGGTAGAGACGGAAAGACGGGGGGAGGGGGTGGGAGCCCCTTCCCTCGTGAGGGCCCCAGGGACGAAGCTTCGGAAGCTTCTCATGCAGCCAGGGCAGGGCCGTTCGCGTGGGCGGGTTGAGGAAGGAGTACTGTAGTGAGGCACCAGGTAAGGTAGGAGGGAGACAAGGTGCCAGGTAGGTACAGTAAGGTAGGCAAGGTACCCACCCACCGGCAGCCCCATTACATCCACCCACCCAGATCGCGTCTGGCCCTAAGAAACGGGCGGCAGCGTGCTGTGCCCTGTGCGGCGGGGGCACATCTCAGCACTGGCAGGACCGATCAGCAGTCCCTGGATGGTGGAAGGACCCCGTCACGCTCGCTGAAGCTCAAGCTCCAGCCCCAAAGCAGCCTAGCGGGTTGTCTTCCGGGACACACCTGGACCTGCCGCACCAGACATGGCGAGTTTACTGATTGCGCATCTGCGGCAAGTGCCCCCGCTCATGTATAAACTGCCCCCCCGTCCTCTCCACGCGCACTCCTCCCACACCTCTCGTTCCTGTCGTCTCTTGCTTCTACACGGTATAAACTAGCAAATATTCCAGAGAAATCTTCAAGGTTCACCACATTCGTCATCCATTCCCGCATTTTTCAAGAGTCTTTCGAACTCCAACACACATCAGCCGACGCGTCTCGCCTTGCAACCCACAACAACTAACGAGATGGCTTCCCAAGAAGACCTGAGTCTGGCGCTCCTTGCCGAGAAGAAGTCGCACACCTACCAGG